CAAACCAGGTTGCTTGTTGCTTTTATGGCTGAAATGTCATCTTTCAGACACTTTGGGAACGGGATGCAGAGTTGCCTTTATCAGGTGACTAGCCAAGAAGCTGGAGGGAACTTCTTTGTAAAGGTCAGATACCTCATTACATACAAAACTACCACAGGGAGTCCTTTGACATCTTGTTTCCTCTCCCTCATTTTTATTCTCATTTGTGAGTCTGTCTTCCCTTCCCTGCTGATCATTCCAAACTTCTGATTGCCAAGCCACTTGGTGCCTGCCTTCCCTCACCTCTCCCCTTGGAGCATCATGTTTCAGTATACCTCTACCTCGTTTCACAGATTAAAGATGATCTGTCCACAGCCCCTTTCTTTCAGCATTGACTAAAGCCCAGACTTACTTGCTAGTGGGAGATTGTGGTCCAGTGTGAGTAGCTTAGGAGCTCACAGGGAACTGGCGTGTGGTAGGTGCCCAATAAATGTAATGGAGTCAGAGCCTGGCTAGGTTAATGGGTTACACTCCATGGTAGCAATGTGTCCTCAAATAGCAGCCTTAAATTCCCCAAATTTAAGGCTGCTATTTGATGATCAACTAAATTAGGCAAAACCTGGGTCAGTCTTCTTACTGGAATGGCTCTCAGAGTCTTTGCTATGCATCTGTGTGGGTGAAGGGGCAGCTGTGATGCTGATATGTGATGTTTCCCAAACTGATCTGATCTTGGAACCCCTCAGGTCTTTGTGAGATCAGTGATCCAGAGAACCCACTTTAGGACACATGTTGGCCAAATATAATAGACACAAACTCTGTATCATTTTCTTACTATGAGTAAAGAAGGTAAACTTACTGAATTCAGAGAATATTTAAGTCAGTGGGTACCAATGTTCTCAGTTAAGATTTTCTTCCTTTTTTTTTTAAATTTAAGTTTGGTGGGTGTTACAAACCGTTGGCAAACAACTGGTGGGTCCCTGGCATAAACATGTATATTATAGCACTATCCTGCCAGAATTATTAGTTACTGTTTTTATTTTTCTCCATTTGGGTATGAGGATCTTGATTGATTAATTGACTGATTGATTGTTAATATACAAAGTTTATTTTATGAATGTACATATGGGGGTCCATAAAAATATGAGATCCTGCCAAAACCGGTTTGACTCAGTGAATAGAGCATCGGCCTGCACACTGAAAGGTCCCAGGTTCAATTCCAGTCAAGGGCATGTACCTTGGTTGCAGGCACATCCCCAGCGGAAGGTGTGTAGGAGGCAGCTGATTGGTGTTTCTCTCTTATTGATGTTTCTAACTCTCTATCCCTCTCCCTTCCTCTCTGTAAAAAATCAATAAAATATATTTTAAAAAATATACATGAGACCCTAGGACCTTGATTTAAATAGCCAATGACAGTTCGCTGAACAGTATTAAGCCCAAGGAATTTGTGGAAATAGGGATTTCACAAAGGCACAGAGTTTTTGCTAAATTGAACACACTGTAGAATCAGAGGTTAGTGAATGGTGTAAAGGTCATTTGAGCATAATGCACATGGAGCAACTCTGATTCTCCGTGTAGGAGAGGATATCACAGTGAGTCCAGCCACTCTTCTCTAGGAATAAGCAAACAAGCAGGGGAGTTTGTCTCGGTGAGATTCACATTGAAAAGCTTCTTCTGATGTCATTGCCATGTTTGCTGATATTCTCTGGGCAATGCACATTCCTCTTGTCACAGTTAATTGAATATATTTAGATCTTGTGTCTTTTATTTCCCTCATTATTTCAAGAGACAACGTCTTATGCAGGCACTGTCTTAGGTATTAGAGAGGCACCTTATTTGTATCTGAAGATATTTTTCAGTTTGGAATCATGCAAAACTCAAAGTTCACTTGAACCGCTAAATCTTTAGCAGTGATAAATCTAAGCAAGTGTGCTTCCTTCACTCTCTTCTATAAAATACCAACCTCTGATTTTGGATTACGCTGGCTTCTTTTTAATTTTTAAGAGGTTTCCATCCTCAGAACCCTATACTCTGCTTGCTCTCTGCTCTGCAGAGCGCTCTGGCTTTTGGCCTCAGTCATTATTGGATTCTGATGGGAGGGCTCCCATTCAACTCTTTCTGGTAGAAAAAATAAATAACATAATTGGGCCTAACTTGAAAACATCTACCCATCCGGCCCATGCTTGCCAATTAAACTGGGCAAAAATAAAAATGTTATAACATCATAAACATTTACCACCCCTCCCCCACACATTTATAATAACTGAAGGAAATTTACCATATAATTATCATACCAAATGGTATGTAGGTTACCTACAGTAAACTATAATAATATGAATGATCAAGTAGCAAATTCATTAACTCAAACCCCCCAAATACCCAAATGTACTCAGTTTCAAGTTTAGGTTTCTTAGGGCCATGCTTATGATTTATTTTGCATATACTTTATTTCTGCTAGTATACGTTACCGCAACCTTTTACAGTGGGTTCAGGTCGATGCACAAATGAAAACACTATACAAGAAATATAAATTTAAAAGGCATGGGGGTCAGGTGGAGACCTCTCCCTTGGAGAGGCACACTGAAACCTGGCCTTATTCACTTTTGATTCAGTTTTGGATACACATCTTGCCCTCAGAAAAGCACAGCAAACAGGCCACAGACAGACCTCTCTAAGGTCAATAAAGATCAGTAAAGATCAGTAAGGATCAGTAAACCTTTATTTGAGGCTATTAGGTCAGGAAATTGCTTTAAGCAGCCACTATCTCAACACAGCCCTACTAAGTCCAAGGTCCATCAGCCTTCTGAGTTTCTTGGTGCACGCTTATGACAGTATTGAGAAAGCAGTGGCTTTCCGCATACATTTTTAGTTTATGTGAATATATAAAATGCATTATTATTTCCTAATGTTCCGAAAAGAGTATAATGATCTACATAAAATGTCATGACTACTGGCCCTGGTACTTGAATCCTTTCAGGATCTTCACACCTTGAGGCCCTAGCACTGCTTGAGGAAACCTTTTTGGACTCCCTAATTCACACAACATCTAATCACATCTCTAGCAAGATTAGCTTATGCAAAGTTCCTATACTGGAAACTTAGAGTAAAAGTGGCCCTTCTATGCAGCCTTAGATAGAAGGCACCATGGCTTATAAATGCCTGCCATTGGCTTTAATTCCCCCATCTAACTGCATTTCAAACCACCGTCTCCAGGTCGAGGAGAATTGCATTTATCTTCAGCATCATTCCTATTATTTGGTTCTGAATGTAGGTATCTTTTCTCCCTGATACATGTGCCCAGGCAAGGAAATTTCAACATAATTGTAAAGAATAGCAAAAAGAAAGGATCAAAATTACCACTTTAATGGGAAAAGTGAACAATTTTCAACTAGGTAATGACAATAAAGTATTGTGCTAGTTGTGTGGCTCTAATTTTTTTCAGTTATATATGTATATATATATATATATGTATATATATATAAACATGTATTTATCTGTATACTCTGAGTCACAATATAAGATCTCTTTCTTATTGTGTCATATTAAAAATTTGTGCAACCTACAGGTACACAGATGAAACACATGGATACATTTAAGACAACCTATACTGGTTTTACAGGTACTTCTTTTTGTGATCATCATTTAAAAATTTATCTAAATAATATTTACATTGCAAATTGCTTAGTGTGCCCATCCACCAATGAGAACTATATAAATGAGATCTTCTTTCCACCTACATTATAAGATCAGGAATTCTGCACACATATCCCAACACTTATGTAAGTCTATTATCACATTTTGCTGGTCAATCATTCTGCCATATTTATTTTCCTCTGCCCAGACTTGCTCTGCAAGACATTAGTATAAATCAAAATACTTTCCTCTGTTCAATAGTTAGGAACTCAAAGATGATTTTAAACTCAAAGGCATTTTGGAAACTTCCATATGAGTGCCTGTGTCTCATCATCTCAGCTGAAGGCTCACTGGAGTCATGAAAACCATCTTAGTCTTGAGTCCACCTAGGAACTGTTTGACTGCAGATCAGTGAGTTTCATCTGCTGCCTGGCCACAGATTGCCTTGGGAGCCTAGAGAGATCAAAGTAAGTTCATGTCCATTTGACCATAAAGGGATTTTTCTTTTCTGAAGACTAGGTGTCTGCCAAGCCTTATTCATTAGGTACGATATATTGATAGCCTCTCTTCCCACCATCAGTTTGACTTTTCTTTGTTCCCCACTGGACACCCTTTAAGAATAAGGAGATTAACAATTCTCCACCCAAACTGAAAGATGAGACAGAGGGCTGAAAACCAGGACTACAGGCCTTATTAGAAGAGAAGGACTCCTTCCGGGCTGTCCCACAAGAAGGGAGTAGCCACATGTGCAGAGGGGAACATGCCTTTTGAGGGAATGAATGGGAAGGGATGGGGCTTAGGGTACTTAGCACACGCTAATTGGTGGTCCAATGTACAGTCCATATAAGGTGTCTGGTTAGGTGCTCAGGAATATCCAGGCCACAGGTGCAGTTTACGTCATACTCCATCCATTGGATAGGGGAAGAAGGATCTATCACAAACCACCTGGTTGAACTCTTGCCTCCACCATTTTTCATATGAGTGACTTTGGCTCTCCATTGATAACATGAAATCTGTAATAATATACTGTACCGCATGATTACATGAATTTACTGCAGTGAAAGTGCTTAGAACAGTGATTAGCAAATAAAAGTTCTTGAACATTTTATTATTAAAGAAAGTTGTGGGTTAAATAAGAAATGCTGCCTTGGTGAACACATATTTTTCCTGGTATTTCCATCATTCCTACTACTGTTTGTATATAGGTCAATAGTTAATAGACAGTCTGCTTTTTCCTGAGGTAGGTTGTTTGGTATAAATATCTCAAAGTACGCAATGGGTCACTCAGTGGTTGGTTTTCTGTGAAATATTGTGCTAATTGGGTGGCATTATCACCTTCAGCAGACTACACCTTCTTTCTCTATTGCAGGTGAAGATCCTAATGTGTGAAAATGAAGTCCCAGTCAACCATGATTTGCTGTTTAATGGTATTCCTGACCACAGAATGTTCTCTTTATAGGGCCAAGATCCACATAAAAGTAAGTAGAATGTTCTCACTATAGATTCAAAATCCCCATGAGAAAACTGGCAGTTCATCCTTATGGCTAGTTTTATGATAAATAACATGTCATATTAAAGACATTCCAGCTGGGACCGGTTTGGCTCAATGGATAGAGCGTCGGCTTGGGGATTGAAGGGTCCTGGGTCCGATTCCGGTCAAGGGCATGTACCTTGGTTGTGGGCACATCCCCAGTAGGGGGTGTGCAAGAGGCAGCTGATCGATGACTCTCTCTCATTGATGTTTCTAACTTTCTATCTCTCTCCCTTCCTCTCTGTACAAAATCAATAAAATATATTTTTAAAAAAAAGACATTCCAAATGACTGCTATTTTACTCTTACTGACAGTAGTTTTCTAGAGACAGAAAGAAAGAAAATGTGAGAGGTGGATGGGACTTGCAACAGTAAAGTTTCGAGGTACAACAGGATACAACAACATAGAAAAATCACTTTCAAACCATAGAGAATGTAGAGAGGCAGCAATTGAAAGAAGAAAGTACAGTTATGAGCTTTTTAATGATGGGGATATGTTTTGAGAAATGCATCGTTAGGTGATTTAGGTCATTATGCAAACACCACACAGGGCACTTACACAAACCTAGATGGTACAGTGCATTACCCGCCTATGCTACATGGTGTACCACAGTCATACACATGGTCCATCATTGACAAAAACATCATTAGGCAGGACATGACTGCACTATCCTGGCAGCTGGGTAGTTGAAAGATTTAGATTCAGACCTTAACTTTGTTTGATTCTTATTAATTACACAAGTTGCTTACTTTTCTGAATTTTAATTTATTTATCTATAACATGAAGGGTGTGTGTTTTTTTCCCCTGTAGATAAACTTTATAGTTCTTTATAGCTATACAATAATTTGTGATTCCATTATTACAACCTAATGCTTACTTCTAGTATCAGTTCATTTCTATTTTTCTCAATATACGCTGGAGTACATTCACTGCATTTCACAGTTACAGTGAAGATAGGCAGAGGACAGCTTAGTGCTAGAATTGTCATCTGTGTGGTCTCTCTGAATACTTAGACTTTCCGAAAGATGGATGCAATCCACTCACCTGACCTTCAGAGCCCAGGTGACCAGCATCAAGGTTCTAGCCCTTCCTGGAGGGCAGCGTGCTCACATCCACGTTTCCTTCAGCAAGTTCTTGCGGTATCAGCACGTGAATCTGCTGCATTTTTCTTCCTAGTCCTGAACACATTTTCTCTTCACATCCACGTGGAGCCTCTAAGTTGAGATGAGTGAGGAGATTTCCACAGTAAAGAGGACCTTTGGGAATTTGTGTTTTACAGGATGGAGATAAATGGCAACATCCTGAAGAGAAACCCAAGACAGGAAGGATACAAGGTATGTGGCTACAGACCAGTCTTCTTCCATTTGAAAACATGGCAAGCATGTCCCCAGACCATGAGTGTTCCAATAAAATATAAAAATCTCTAATAAGTTGTCAGTGTTTACCAATAGTGATAGATTTTTCTTACAAATATACCATTATCCATAGCATAGTCAATGAAGAAAGTTGACAGATATTCACAGATTCTAGAACAGTAGATAAGTACTTATTTAAAAATCCACTAGGAAAATCCATTTGAACTAACAAGTTAACAAGAGGCAGAAGAGGGAAAAGGATATTATTCATTCATTTTTTCATCCAAAGATATTTTTGTATTGCTTAACCATATGTAATATTTTGGTACTGAGAGATATGTTGAAGTGATGTCAGATAGATATTGTATTAGCGAGACTGGTCACCCTTGAGAAGTGAAAAAAATATATAAGTAATTATTAGTCCTAAAATAGTGAAATCACGTGATTCTCACCCAAATAATAGGAATAAACTGGATTCTGCACATTTATGGATTCAACTCTATTTTGGTGGCAGATTAATCTCTACTTAGATATGGAATTGAAAAAAGAAAGAAGAGAAAATTGGAGATACTTTATTGAGCATTTTTAGTCGAAGTGCTGCCCAAGATACTGTCTCTCATTTAATGTTTGTAACAACACCATGGTATCATCTCCAAATCATATAAACTGACAGGCACTCAGTTTAAATAACTGCCCAATTGATACACTGGGTAAAACCGCTTGTTTCCTTTCTCTGTGAATGGAGTCACCCACAGAGCCATCCAAGACATAAATGTGGGTGTATTCTTATCTCACAACCAAATGGTCACCACATCATATTGATGTCAACACCTTCATAGCTCTCAGCCTCATTTACTTCTTTCCATTTCCCTGCCATCCTCCTAGGAATACTTCAGCAGCTTCATTCCTGGGCTCTCTGCCTCAAGTCAATTCTCTCTACCTATGGGCCAAAATAAGCCTGCCACCATGTTTTGTAAATAAAGTTTTATTGGAACCCAGCCATGCCCATTTATTTGCCTATTTGCATAGACTGTATAGCCCACAGTGTTGAAACTATTTACTCTCTGGTGAGTATAGTCTTATTTAACAAATAAAAATATAGGATGTCTGGTTAAATTTATATTTCAGAAAAAGAATGAGTAAGAATGCATGGGCCATATATACCCTAAAACATTATTCATTGTTTATCTGAACATTTTCCGTTGTCAATCCTCATGAATAGTATTTGTGGGTTCTATAGTTGCAAATTCCCCTATTCTTTTGATATGTATTCTTAATCTCAAAATCAATACTCACAGTCCATTCTCCATCACTCACAAAACAGAAAAAAAAAAAAAATTGAGTCGGCCAGGTGCATGTTCCCAGCTGAGGTTGAACAAGTGATGCTCTGCCTTCTTGCTCCAGCTCTCTTACCATACACACTGTTTGGGTGGCCTAAGTAACGCCAGCTATTTTGCTTTTCTGTTGTTGATCTTGCTGTTTAATATGGCCCCAAGTATAGGGCAAAGTGCTGTTTAGTATTCCTAACTGAGCTGTGATGTACCTTCTGGAGAAAATACCTGTGTTCCCTAAGTCTTGTTTATATGCTACCATGAGTTATAGCACTTATTGTCCATGAGTTCAATGTCAGTAAATCAACTCTTTATTATATAAGGTGACTTTAAATAAAACAAACATATAGCCGGAACCGGTTTGGCTCAGTGGATAGAGCGTCAGCCTGTGGACTGAAAGGTCCCAGGTTCGATTCCAGTCAAGGGCATGTACCTTGGTTGCGGGCACATCCCCAGTAGGGGGTGTACAAGAGGCAGCTGATTAATGTCTCTCGCTCATCGATGTTTCTAACTCTCTATCCCTCTCTCTTCCTTTCTGTAAAAAAGCAATAAAATATAAAAATAAATAAATAAATAAATAAATAAATAAATAAATAAATAAATAAATAAAACATATATTGATACTGATCTGTTGAAAATTTTGCAAGCAGAAGATCCTAGAAACCTTGTATTCCCCTAGGAATGATGGAACCATGGTTCAGTATTTGTTGACTCAGTATTTATGCAGCAACTTCATAGAAAATAACTACTGCAAATAATGAGAAGTGACTGTATCTGAAAAGATTAACATTTATCTGAGCTTCCTGTGTTTTATTTGACATTTATACAATCCTTTACAGAAAAGTGTGCAGATTCCTGCTCTATGCTACTGTTAATTATTTTTCAAAAATGAATTTAATCTTGTTTTCTGGTAATGCCCATGTTAGCACAGCATTCAAGGTCCTTTAGGAATTGACCACTACTTCCCTCCCCCTCCTCATCTCTGGCCACTCTCCCCTCAGATGCTCTGAGCTAGCTAGCCTTTCTGAAAGACCTGTGACCCTCCTTCCTCCCACTGCCTAGACATCAGCTTCACAATCTGCCTGGCAGGTCTGTCTTGTTGCTGAAGACCCAGGTTAATATCACCTCCTTTGGAAGCAACTTAAAATCCCCAGTATGAGTTTGATGCCCCCATGGAAGTGTGGAACTGTTAATTACTCTCTCTCTCTCTCTCTCTCTCTCTCTCTCTCTCTCTCTCTCTCTCTCTCTTTCTCTCTCTCTCTCTCTTCAGAGAAATGCCATGGACCTTGCATCACTTCATCCAACTGCAGCCAGCCCTGTGCTCAATCTTTTCGTGGAGAAATAGGATTTACATGTAACCAAAACAAATGGCAAAAATCAACTGAAACGTGTACAAGCCTTTCTGTGGAAACACTCTTTCAGGTGATGTATTTGCATTTTATTGGCAACAGGAACCAATCCCTCAGGAGGTGGTAGAGGCATTTTTAACATGTCCTATAGAGCATAAATCTCAGATTTGGATTTAGGAAAATCTACAGAATAGATTAAATTTGTCTCTTCTTCCTTACCCAAACTCAGGTTCTCTCCTCACTCCCCACTCTCTCCCTCTCCCTTTCAGAATCATTTCTTAAAAATCAGATCTGACCCTGACTGGTTTGGCAAAGTGGATAGAGCATCAGCCTTCAGACTGAAAGGTCTCAGGTTCTATTCCAGTCAAGTGCATGTACCTTGGTTATGGGCTCATCCTCAGTAGGGGGTGTGCAGGAGGCAGCTGTCGATGTTTCTCTTTCATTGATGTTTCTAACTCTCTATCCCTCTCCCTTCCTCTCTGTAAAAATCAATAAGATATATAGTTTTAAAAATCAGATCTGAAACTCATTTATGTAATGGTAAATGCTTGGAGGATAAAGTCTTAGCTCTTTTTAAAAAATATGTTTTTATTGATTTCAGATAGGAAAAGAGAGGGAGAGAGAGAGATAGAAAGATCAATGATGAGAGAGAATCATTGATTGGCTGCCTCTTGCATGCCCCGTTCTCCTCCCCACTGAGGATGGAGTCCAAAACCAAGCATGTGCCCTGACCAGGAATCAAAACCTGACCGCCTAGTTCATACTCAACCACTGAGCCATGCTAGTTGGGTAAAGTTTTTTGCTCTAAATGTGGATTTGCATGTCTCTGGACTACCTAATTAGTCAACTAAATGTGTCTAGAACCCAATTCATTTTCAATTTTGTTCTAATACTTTCAATTACTTGCCAAAAAAAGGAGAAATGAGTGACCCAAAGGGAATAGTAATGCAGTGGAAACAAAAAAATCTGAGTTAAAATGAAAATATCCTGTTTTATGTTCTTTCACTTAAGCACCATGTAAACCTACCTTTTCTCTAATCCCATAGAAGCACATGGATCTCTGCCTTTTGTAAATCTTCAACTGTGACTCTGTAAGGGTCATGGAGGCTCTGCCACTTAGCATAGGTAGAGGTCTTTTCAACCCTAGTGGCATTCCAAAGGGAATTAAATGAAGTGTATTATTGCTTTGACTTATCCAAAGTCACATTCTGGGAGACTCTGGGTAAATGTCTGAGGGGAAAAAATAGGAAATAATTTATTCTAATTAGTGAACTCAGCTTTTTGAAATTGCATTCCCATTGTGTTCCATGTTTGACTTCCCAATTTCAAACACCACGCTCCAAATTCCTCTTAATGTGGCTCCTCTTAAAAATATATAATTACTGGACCAGTTTTTTTCTAGAATTTCTCCACACCACTGGGGAAAACTCTTAGAGTCTTGAGTTAAAGTCTCGGTCTTCAAAAGCAATCTCCAATAGGAAAAGAGATCTCTGTGGGAATTTTTACACAATCTCCTGCCTGAGTGAGAATTTCACCTTAACCTGTCTGTAACTCTCAGCATCTAAACCACATTTTTGGACCCTTTGCTTCTGCTCTATTTTCTTCATGTTGATCATTTTTGTGCCTTTATCTCATTCAGTCTGAAGCATATTAAGTGTTTATTAATTTTTAATAAAACACCATTTTTTAAAAACAGGACTTGAACAGTGTACCACGCCTTTCCATCGCAGCGCCCTCCATACCCCTGCACATTCTTGACTTTCGTGCTCCTCCGGAGCCCCTGCAGAGCGTAGTGCAAGGAATCCTCAGGAATTGCCCGCAGGACTACGCCTGCATAATTGACGCCGTGAAAACCTCCGAAGCCACGTCTGGAAATATCGCATTTATTGTGGAGTTACTAAAAAACATTTCTACAGACTTGTCTGATAATGTTACCCAAGAGAAAATGAAGGTAGATATTCTTTGTTAAACACCGACCATGACCTCCCCGCAAAGCTTGCACTTTAATAACAGTTTCAAATATATCTGCAGGGGAAAAACTATAATCACCACAGCAGATATAATTATAACAATTTTCACTTCAGTTTTTCACATGGATTCATTCAGGTTTATGGAAATTGTCAAAAAGTTAGAACACCCCGTATAATAAAACCCTACTATGCAAATAGACCCAACAGTGGTATGACTGATTGCTATGATGCACACTGACCACCAGGGGATAAATGCTCAATGCAGGAACTTCCCCTGGTGGTCAGTGTGCTCCCCACAGGAGAGTACTGCTCAGCCAGAAGCTGGGCTCACAGCTGGTGAGCAGTGCTAAGGACCCCTCAGTGACATCCCATGAGGGGTTCTGGACTGTGAGAGGGCGCAGGCCCGGATGAGGGACCCTCCTTATCCCAGTGCACAAATGTCATGCACCAGGCCTCTAGTTTTTTACATATGTTTGTTGTATGGGATTAATATTTGCAGAAACATATCACATGGTGATAGCAGTGAGCAAGATCGTGTCGACTCTAGCATTTCCAAAATTTTATTCTGGAGAACATAATTGTTCTGAGAAATGTTAAGGGAGCTACCATTTTTAATAAGGAGATGCAACAAGTATAGGGACTCTGAATTAAAGTTAAGCAGGTTTCCTTCTTTAGACCTTTTAATAAATGAATGAACTTTGGCACACTTTATAGGAGTGAGGGATATAGGAATATGTATTTCTTACACTTAAATTATTATAGAATCTATCCCCAATCTCCTTCATTAAATAATCATTAATATCATATGGGAAGCTTGCGTTATATAGACTGCAGTTTGGAAATGCTGCCCTAGGCACATAAAAAAAGCAGATAAACTTTATCTGTGATACATTTTATTTTTAGCATTTTTTTACTTTATCTTCCCTGCAGGCTTATCAGCATGAGATTCAATAAATGGGAAATTCCAAGAGAAATATGTCCAATAAGATCAGATTATTTGCCTCAACATTTTCAGATTTTAGAAAGCAACTTTGTGAAATAACGGGTGAATCCTTGCCATCATATCCACTTTTCTCCATTGCAGAGCTACAGCGAGGTGGCCAACCACATCCTCGACACAACAGCCATTTCAAACTGGGCTTTCATTCCTGACAAGAAGGCCAGCTCAGATTTGCTGCAGTCGGTGAATTTGTTCGCCCGGCAACTCCACCTCCGCAATGCCTCTGAGTACACTGTGGATGAACCCTTCATTCAGACGAAAGGGTTTTACCTCAGCCACAATACATCGTTGGAGGAAAGTTTCAGATTCTCTGGGAATGTGAACAATACACCAGAGGAAATCTTAGGAATGATAGAGATTCCCAAGCACGATCTGTGGAAGCTACCACCAAATGCCTCCCAAGCCATCACCATAGCGTTTCCCACTTTGGGGGCCGTTCTGAAAGAAGAGCACTTGACCAATGTGAGTCTTCCCCGGCCGGTAAATGGCCTGGTTCTTTCGGTGATTTTACCAGACAGATTAAAGCAGATCATACTCACGTTCGAGAAGATCAATAAATCCCTGAGTGCTAGGGCTCAGTGTGTTGGCTGGCATTCCAGGAAAAGGAGATGGGATGAGAAGGCGTGTGAGAAGACGTTGGATATCAAGAACACAGTGAAATGCCGGTGTAACTACACCAATGCAGTGATGTCTTTTTCCATTCTAATGTCCCCCATATCGATAGATGACAAAATCCTGGATTACATCACCTGCATTGGGCTCAGCGTCTCCATCCTTAGCTTGGTTCTTTGTCTGCTCATTGAAGCTACGGTGTGGTCCCGGGTTGTTGTGACAGAGATATCATACATGCGCCACGTGTGTATCGTGAACATAGCCGTGTCGCTCCTGACTGCGAATGTGTGGTTCATCATATCCTCCAACTTTAGCAAAAAGGCCTGGGACCACAAGTGGTGTGTTGCAATGACATTTTTTAGCCATTTTTTCTACCTCTCTCTGTTTTTCTGGATGCTCTTCAAAGCTCTGCTCATCATCTATGGAATATTGGTCGTTTTTCATAGGATGATGAAGTCCCGCATGATGGTCATTGGTTTTATCATTGGCTATGGGTTCCCACTGATCATCGCTGGCACCACAGTTGCTATCACAGTGCCAGAGCAAGGCTACATGAGACATGATGCCTGTTGGCTTAACTGGGACAATACCAAAGCCCTTTTAGCATTCGCCATCCCAGCCTTGGTCATCGTGGCCGTGAACCTTCTTGTGGTTTTGGTTGTTGCCGTCAACACTCAGAGGCCCTTTATCGGCAGTTCCAAGTCTCAAGATGTGGCCATAATTAGGAGGATCAGTAAAAATGTTGCCATCCTCACCCCACTGCTGGGACTGACCTGGGGTTTTGGGATAGCCACTCTCATCAAAGGCAATTCCTTGGTATTCCACATAATCTTTGCCCTGCTCAATGCTTTCCAGGTAAGTTCCAAGAGGGAGACTTACTTTATTAATTAATGTCATTAATTAATATTTCACGGACAAGATGTTATTTTCTAATTTGTTAGCCCAACAAAAATGGCTATGTTTTAAAAACATAGAACACAAAATATTTCTTCCATTTCCCTCCATATCTTAGGGACATTTAGATGTGGCATCTCTCACCCTGTTGTTTATCAAGTTACATTGAATTGGTCAGGCTCTGGTTGGGTGAAAATTTCCTTCCTTCTCTCCTTATGGAGCCACCTGTATCCCTCCTAAAGTTTCCATGGCAGAAATAGTTGACCCACACTTATGGAGGACTAGTAGGTCAGGGATGTGTGAGGCTATACTCACGTGTCACGCCTCCAAGCAAGCACAATGTTTATCCTTTCTCAAGTACTATGAGAACTCAGTGAAATGAATCATTTTCCATGGTGTGCCATTCTCTTTGAGTGTTAACTAGTCAGGGATTCCCATGCCTCTCTCCCCTGGGATGTAATTGTAGGTTGCCATTCATAGGACTGAATCCTACCATGTTTTACCTGATCCTAGGAAAGTCACTTCTCTCAGCGTTCCATCTGTAAAATAAAAAGATGGATCTAATATGATCGCTATTGTCTTTTAATTCTTAACATACTTGATTGGCACGATGATCCATCTAAGAGCTGTTTTACTTCCTTTGGCTGCTAAGCTTATACATTTGGGAAACTGTCATTGGCCAGACTGCTTCCCATACCTATGGATACAGAAAATCTGGCAAGTTTATATTCTTAATTATGTTTTAAATCAGGGGTTGGCAAACTATGGCATGTTGCCTGTTGTAAATAGTATATTGGAACACAGCCATACTCAATCATTTACATTTTGCCCATGGCTGTTTTTGAGCTACAATGGCAAAGCTGACATAGTAGAAACGGAGATTGCATACCCTGAAGGCCTAACATATTTATTATCTGCTTGTACTAAGCAAAAAGGAAAGAAAAATGTCTGACTAGTATTTAAATAATAACTGCATAATAAAGTGTTCCTATTAACATGTCATTGCTACTATATTTAGAAATTTGGTACAAAATACATATAAAGCAATGAATTACTCATAAGTATTTAATAACTATAGAGACTATTTGTTCCACTTGTTCCCTTGCATTACTTTAAAAAGAAATTTTTTGACGTAAGCATTGTTTTGTTGTTGTGTTGTTTATTTATTTGCTTGTGTTTTGAAATCAAAAGCTCTTACATTCACATTATACCTCCCCAACTCTGGAGGAGAGAAGGATTTTCTCTGGTGACAAATGACTTCATCCTATTTTTATTTTGCAACTTAATTAAACCTCAAAATGTTCTGTGGTTTTGTTCAGATCATTTACCAGTATTTGTCTCCTTTCTTGATAGAAAGAAAAATACTAAGACACTTGTGACTCACATTTTACAATTTCAGTCTTCTGAGCAGTGGTTTTTCACCATGAAAAACCCAGATTCCCTCTACTCTTATGGAAAAATACAGATTTTTCTTGGATGTCAATTCCCAACATTTAAAAAGATTGGCTTCCAATGATTGTGACTTTATAGGTGACCAAATGTTTAAACTTGAGGAGACTCTGACCTTATTGGTTTCTGTAGTTTCTCTTTTATTCAGAAATTTCTTCCACCAGCCCAGAGAATTTGGTGTGAAAATAGTCTAGAATACAAGTTTCATTTTCTTAAGATACCTTTTATTATAGTGACTTCGAGTTGCAAGATCCAATGTCATGTCTCACTGTCATCATGAGGAAGAACAGCTCACTTAATATTTGGGAAGAAAGTAAACAGATTTAATAAGGTTGAAAACTCTATCCTACATTGATAGCCACTTAAGAAATACCAACCATTATCATGCACAGACATGAAGGTAATCCTCTTTCTTTGAGGTGCACTCAAAAAAATATATATCAATACATTTTTATCTAAATAAGTGGTAAGTGAAGTTTTGAATATCTGATAACATACTAGAAGATATCAAAATGTGTGGTATTAATATAACAGCTGGGATATTGACTGCAAAACTCTCCCTCATACTTCTGTTGAATTTTGCCACAGGGGTTCTTCATCTTGCTGTTTGGAACCATTATGGATCACAAGGTAATCTGAATTTGTTTCACTCATTGTAAATGATTTTCATATGACTGAGGGAAGCAGGAGGAAGAAGCAGGTTTAATCAGAGAGCATGGTTTAGGGGAGTTGAGTTAGAGGGCGGGATTCAGGGCATCAGCTAGGAGAGGGAAAGGAAAGAACTCTATTCTCTCATTCCCAGCACATCATCTAGTCAACAGGAGGCTATATGTGAACACAGCTGATGAAAACAATTAAAACCATACCTACAATTTAAATCTTAATAGTAAACCTCATTACACCACACCTTCACAATTATCTAAGCATTATTATTTGCCAAACACTGTGTTAAGCCAGCTGATGCTGCTTCTGCCAGTGTGACTGGTCCCAAGTTCTAAGGCATGAACTGGGTATTGGGGATATTGTCATTTCTTCACTGTCATTGGTTCTTCAGATAAGAGATGCTTTGAAGATGAAGATGTCTTCACTGAAGGGGCCAGCAAGAGTAGCAGAGGTAAGCCTCTCTCTTTTGGTCTCAAAACTGGAGGATCAGTGTCCTCATGCAGAGACAAATATTATAGGTTAGTATTCATTATTTTACAGCATAGAAAATCATTAGGTCTACCTTAATTCATTCATTTCTTCATTCAACAAATATTGCAGTATCCTGCTAAAGCTTAAGTGAAGCAGAATATACTCAAGAGAATTTTCCACATTGGATGTATTTCAACCTGACATTTGGACCACTAAGTTGAGACAACATGGACCCAGTATCATAGATTCATAAAATGCTAGTGGGTGGAAATGAGAAATAAGTCAGCTTACTCATTTCATAGGTAAGGAAATCAAGGCTCAGAGAACTTGAGACTTGCCCAAAGCTATCCAGCAAACCATGAGAATTAACATTCTGCTTGCTCAGGATTCTTTTAGTAAACCATACTCCCTTGGATTAATGTGTCTGTGTTCTTATAGATTTTGAAGATGACTTTTGTCCAAGCTACTTGTCTTTTAAGATACCAACTAAAATTGCGACCATTGCTATATTAATTATAAAGAAGCCATTCATTCAACTAACAGTTTCTCAACAAGAACTTAAAAACAAATAAACAAGTTTCTGGATACAATAGGAATCAGCATTAATGGTTAGCTGATACTGAGTATAACTTTTAACATAGTTCACCAGTTCTATGATAGACAGTCTCTTCACCTTTTAACATTTCTGAAATTGGAATGTATTTTACTGTCAGTGGGATGTTATAGTTTAATGGGCAATTTATTTTTCTTTCTTGGTGGGAAATAAAAATAAAAAAAATAATGATGTAGTTTCCAAAGTTAGATTCAGTGAAAAATGGTAACTTAATTCTGTGTAAATGTGTCAATGTAGGTCCCTCTCTGTGTGTCTTCATTTTTACATGTTTATGTCTAGGCAGGCATATACATACATATAAATATATGTGCATTTGTGTCAATGCAGTTACTCATTGACATCACTGTTATTTTTGTTCGTATTTAGAATGCATCATTAAGTCCAACCAATGGATCTAAATTAATGAATCGTTGAAGATGAGATGTGAGTATTAACAACTCAAGGAGAAACTTCACCTCCAAGTGTGACAGACCACTCAGTGCCCTTTGTGAGCACACTCTTCCCTACTCAGTGATGCTGGAGTGAGGTGGGAAGAAAATAGATGGACATAACCTTTCAGAGAACAGAAACTTCTTGATCGACCAGCACATAAATGGAAATATGTATATCATCTTTAAATCCTACAGAACCAACTCCAAGCACACTTGTTTCTGTCCTCAATGAGAGGATGCTGTTATCATATCTGCACTGATACAGGATACACCCTTGCTGTCCACAGTGCTCACACGCCTAATTCCATTTGGCCAGTGAGTGGTGACCTGAACAATAAACCGATTGTCCAGAAGAAAGACTTCATTGATTGAAATCACAAAGCAACAAGCTTGTCTCTCCATAATGAAGTTAAGGCCAGAATCATTCCTAAGCAGGCTTGGGTGGAATTATAGCAAATTAGCTGTCTACTCACAGTCAACCCATGAAACATTTCTACACAAGGAAAAACAAATATCCATGGAGGGAAGAAGAAGTCACAAAATGGCAGGCTAAAGCCTGAGAGGGAAAGGGAGATGTGGGCAGGAAGGATCAGTCTTGGTACTGTTTCATCTTGGAGAGTTTCATGGCTTTTCTTATGGATATTCATGGGTCTCAGGTTTTGTTTGTAAGAGCCACCTGACATCAGGCACATCCTCTTTTACATTCCTTTTCATTTTGAGTCATGGCCCATATATTCAGCAGCAATGGGGCAAGGCAAAGGCAAATCTTAGGGAACTAAAGAACCCTAAAGGGACGCCCTCTGTTCCAGATTCTAAAAACCTGATGTGCTGGTGTCCAGAGAGAGAGAGGGAGAGTAAGAAGAGCTTTGTTATACACATTGACTGGCATAGGTGGGTGTGGGGAAACCAGAGAGAAACACTGGCATATTATTCTTAATTAAGCATTTTTACATTTGAGTTTTTATCTGAGCATTTTAAAAGGGAGGAGGAAAAATGTAGTAGAACTTTACAAAGGTTAACTCTCCCCCATTTTCTAGCCTCTAGGATGGGATATTATTATTACATTTATTGATTACATTTAAAAAATATATTTTATTGATTTTTAACAGAGAGAAAGGGAGAGAGATAGAGAGCTAGAAATGTCGATGAGAGAGAAACATCGACCAGCTGCCTCTTGCACACCCCTTCCAGGGGATGTGCCCGCAACCAAGGTACATGCCCTTGACCGGAATCGAACCTGGGACCTTTCAGTCCGCAGACCGAGGCTCTACCACTGAGCCAAACCAGCTTCGGCTATTGATTACATTTCTTGATCATCTGAACTAACTCTCAGTTTACTATTGAGAGTTAGTTCAGATGATCAATAAATGTAATCAATAAATGTAATAATTTATTATTGAGAGTTAGTTCAGATGATCTGTTAAAGTTGACCTTTCCATTAAAGTCCCAGTTTGAGCTGTTAGAAAGTTCATTAGATTGTCTCAGCAGGAGGCCCTTTCCTCCTGGGCGTTGTATATCCAGCCATTCTAGAGAAGAGGAGCATGGTTGTGGTCTTATACCTAGCTAGTGGCTATAGTGAAAGTTGGGGGGGAAACAGTAGAAGCCAAGATCAGGAATTACACTGCTTAGTAGAACTGGGGATGTGCACAAAGCTTAGACCCATATTAGGAGGAAGTGTAGAAAAGAGATAGGAATGCACTAACAATTCTCCCCAAAGAAATCCACAAAAAATTTCAACATCTATTTTTGAACCTATGGGTGTGTGTGTGGGGGGGGGGGGGGGGGCGGGGATGAATTAAAGGTATCCTCCTCTCATGGTCCAGGGCCTCATGAATTGTAATTGGGACTATGCTTTCACATCTGGATGCATGTGATATCAGAAGAGTTCAGAAACAACAGTTGGCACCATGGCAGACCATGCTGGGGCCCAACAAGCATTTAGAGGACAGGAACAGAAAATTCATACTAAGTGATCCTTCCAAGTCCAGAATGGAGAGCTGACACCATGAGGGAGGGTTTTCAGCAGAAATCAGAGATTGGGCCTCATCCACAGTGTTTAGAGTGGAATTACAGCTCAGTGACGTGGGGTGTATGGTAAGCGCAAGACAGAATCACAGTCCAGTACAAGGCTAAACCACAGAGAAAAGGTCACATTTCAGACCTTAATTCAGAATAAAAAATCATAAATTGATGGGGTTCTCCTAAGGTGAGCAGAATTCCAGTGGCAAGAAATGGGGAGGGAGGTCAGAAGTGAACTTGCAGAGAATTGTTCCCCCTGAATATGAGTGGTCACTTTTTAGATCCTGGTGACCTCAGGTCAGATTGCTCTTAGAAAAATGGTTGGGACAGGAGGGGCCAGGGTCAGGAATAGACTGCAGAAGTGTGAAAACCCAGGCAGTTTGCTTCAGGTGTAGATTCTAATTGGGGGACCCCAACCTGGGAGGTATCTGGATGACATTTTTATGATGAGGTGATAGCCACATGGAACCCTCTGCCTAATAAAGGACTACCCATTCATTTAAAGGGTAGTCCTTTAATATGACCTGAGCACAGCCAGTTTCATCCAGTGTGATTTCAGGGTTGAGGTTCTGTTCCTCTAAAGTCTCTTCCACATATTTTCTTATGCCTGAAATTCACGTAAAAGAGTATAGAACTCTTCATTCCACTGTGAGAAATGTGACATCGAACAAATACCTGGAGAGAAACAATGCTGTTTTCTAT